TAAGAACGAAACATTCATCCCTTGGTACATTTTGGAAGAAGCCTCTAAGTCAGGGGTAGGCAACCTTTTTGAGCCGGGGGCCGGGTTGCTGTCCCTCAGATAATTGGGGGGCCGAAGCACCCAAAATAAATAAATAAAATAATGTTTTTTTAAAAAATAATAATATTTTTTTTAAAAAAATGCATGCACACTCTCTCAGCCCCAGAAAAGCCATGGCAAAACCCCTGTGGAGATTTTGCCAAGTAATAACAACAATAATCAATATCACGATGGCAGGCAGTGGAGGCAGCAGGGGGAGGCGGCGGCGGCGGCAGGACCGGCCTGGGGCCGGTCCAAAGGCCTTGGGGGGCCGCATCCGGCCCCCAGGCCTTAGGTTGCCTACCCCTGCTCTAAGTGGTCTCTAGGAGGTTTAGATTTTATTGTTTTACTTATGAAAAACTTACCTGACCTGGTTGTTTCATTTCACCTGTGCATATTGTTAGACTTGAATAAAGCATTTGCTGAAACATGTTGGGCTGGTGTACTTTTTTTTAATGGTGTATCTCTATTCTCTGCATGTGATTTCTGCCTCTGGGACTAAGTTTTCTATTACCGGTAAATAACTCCCCAGAAACACGGGTAGTTCATTTTGTAGTCTGAGACACATCCAAAAAAATCCGATTTTATCATTGCTTGAACTTTATTTAGTTCCGAGGCGAGAAAGATTGTGGTCTCTCCATGACATGGCTTTAGCTGCTGATATTTTAAGCAAAGGTGGACCCCGTGACTCCACACAAAACGGGGGGAATCCAGTCCCCAAACATTTCAGCAGCATTCCTTGCATTGCTGTCCCTAGGCAGCTTTCAGAGCAAAGGCTTGGTATGTGTTTGTCTGTATAAACCAGTTGGTTACACCTCCTTTTGCCTCACATCATCCAACCTACTAAACCTACAGCAAATGCTAAGAATGTGTGCCAAAAATAATGTTGCTGTCTTTTCTTGCTTCACCTGTTCCCAGAAAATCTATGGGCTATTACTGCAGGGAGGAGGGAACGAATGTATAGTACTACTGCTCCTCAAATGCATTTTTCCTTCAGTTCCCAAATGTCTGGCATTTCAGAAAAGAAACATGAAACACTGTTCATATCTAGAGCTCTTAGATCTGTTGTGTTTGCATTCCCCTGGTAACTTTGCCTGACTTTTCTTTGGATGCCTAAACTGTGCGTCTAAATGCCCATAGTTTTATATTACAGTGGGCCCTTGGTATCTGCTGGGGGTTGGTTCCAGGAACACCCCTCCATGGATACCAAAATCTGTGGATGCCCAAGTCCCATTAAATACAA